GCCATGTGGAGCTGTGAGTTAATTAAACATCTTTTTTAAATAAATTACCCAGTCTCAGGTATTTCTTCATAGCAGCTTGAGAATGAACCAATATACCCCAGCCAGAGCAATCACGCAAAAGAAACAAACAAAAGGCATCCAAACAGAAAAGGGGAAGTCAAATTTTCCCGGTTCACTGATGACATGACCTACATCTAGAAAGCCTCAGTCTCCACCAAATATCTTTTGAATTTGAGAAATTAATTCAGTAAAGTGTGAAGATCCCTTTACAAAAATTGGTAGCATTTCTACATACCAATAATGATCCAGCAGATAATCAAATAAAGACGGCAATCCCATTTACAACAGCTAGTAAAAAATAAACTAAGAATAATTTTAGCCAAAGAGGTAAAAGATATCTACAAGGAAAACTACAAAACACTGGTGAAAGTAATTGTAGATGCCATAAACAAATGGAAAAATATCCCTCGCTCTTGGATTTAAAAAACTAACATCATTAAAATTACCATACTATTCAAAGCAATCTACAGATTTAATGCAATCCCTTAAAACAACTCATTTTTCACAGAAATAGAAAATACTATCCTCAAAATCATATGGAACTAAAAAGGAGCCCGAATAGCCAAATAAATACTAAGCAAAAAGAATAAGGCTGGAGGCATCTCATTACTGACTTCAAATTATACTATAAGGCTACAGTAACCAAAGCAGCATGGTACTGATATAAAAATAGACACATATATCCAGGGAACAAAATAGGGAACACAGAAATAAAGCCAGGTACTCAGAGCCAACTCTTTTGTGACAAAATCAACAGGAATATACACTGGGGAAATGACATCCTTTTCAACAAATGGTACTGGAAAAATTTGACTGTCATACACAGAAGAATGAAATTGGACCCTTATCTTTCAGCAAATTCAAAAGTCAACTCAAGATGGATTAAACCCTTAAATGCAAGACATGAAATTATAAAAGTACTGTAAAAATACCTAAGGAAAATTATCCTGGACATTGGTGTAGGCAAAATATTTATGAATAAGATGTAAAAAGCACAGGCAATAAAAACAAAAATAGACAAATGGGACTTAATTAAACTAAAAATCTTCTGCATAGCAAAATAAATAATCAAGATTGAACAGGCAACCTACAGAATGGGAGATAATATTTGCAAATAATGCATGTGACAGGGGATTAGTAAACAGAATTTAGAAGGGACTTAAACAACTCAAAATGAAAACTCCAAATAATCCCAGTACAAAGTGGGCAAAGGACATGAATAAACATACAAATGACTAACGGGCATATGAAAATGCTCAACGTCACTAATCATCAGAGATACACAAATTAAAACCACAATGGGATATCATTTTACATGAGTCAGAATGGCTATTTTTCAAAAGACAAGAAATAACAAATGTTTGTGAGGATTTTAAAAAAGATAAAAAATAACAAATGTTTGTGAGGAGAAAACGTAATGCTTATACACTGTTGGTAGAAATGTAAATTAGTACATTCACTATGACAGTAGGGAGATTTCTCAAGGAACTATAAATAGAACTGCCATTCAATCCAACAATCCCACTATTGGGTATCTACCCAAAGGAAAATAACTCACTATATCAAAAAGATATCTACACTCATATGTTTATCATAGTACTATTCACAACAGCAATGATATGGGATCAACCTAAGTGTCTGTCAACAGATGATATGATAAAGAAAAACTGCAAGATATATATATATATGCATATATATATCTTGCATATATATATGCATATATATCTTGCACATTTTTAGGATCATAGTATTCCATTTTATATATATATATTCCAAATAGTATTCATATATATATATAATATATATTATATATAATAAAAGGCACATATCACCACCACTGCTCCCAGGTTTGCTTTTTAATATAATTTCGCCATTTGTTTTTGTTGTCATATTTTCTTAATAGTCATACAGTTTCAAAATCATGGGAAATTTATCCTAACAGGCATATGTGCCTAACGGGCAAATTTATCCTACATTTCATGGGTAATTTTCTTCTCAAAGACAACTCTAAGTCTAAGTTTACACTCCGATCAAATATTTTAATAACAGAGCTCTCATTAGTTAGTTAGGATAGACTAACCCATTATCAAATTCCTATCTATCTATCTAGATAGATAGATAGATAGATAGATAGATAGATAGATAGACAGACAGATAGATAGAGGAATACGATATATATATATAAATGGAATACTATTTAGCCATAAGAAAGAATGAAATTTGTCTTTTGCAGCAATATGGATGAAAATGGAGGCCATTATCTTAAGCATAACAAGTCAGACACAGAAAGACAAATACCATATGTTCTCACTTATAAGTGGGAACTAAATAATGTGTACACAGGAGTGTCAAGTATGGAATGATAGACAATGGAAAGGTGAGGGGATGGAATAGGGTGCATGATGAGAGATTACTCACTGGGTACAATGTACATTATTTGGGTAATGGATACCCAAAAAGCCCTTCTTCCACCACCATGCAATCTATGCAAATGACAAAATATATTTCTCATAGATTTGTACAGAAATAGAAATTTTTATCAGCGTGTTTTAATTAAATATATCTATCTTAACTTACTTTAGTCAAAATAACGACATGAAAGTAGATACATTTCTCTTAAGCATAAAATGGTTTCTATGTATTTGTGTATTTGGCAGGACATAAATAAGCATGTGATCTAATTTCACTTGTTAAAAAGTTGTATAAAATTGTTTGTGACAATGCCAACTTTCTTTTTTAAAAGGTTGCATATGAAATAGACTAATAAGCCCTAAACAAAATGTCAGTTATATTGCTTTCATAGGTAAAAAACCAAACAAACAAACAAACAAAAAAAACAAAAAAACCCCAATATTTGGATTAAGAAGATAATTATCTTTTCCATTTCCAGGACCATAATTATGAACCACATTTCCATGTGCCTCTTGACGCAAATTATTCACAAAGCTAACTGAAGTCTCAAACATTCAAACGAAATACAGCTAATTAAATGTGGTACTTATGAAAACCAACCAATGTACTTTTGAAGAGTCATAAGCATGCCTCTGTTAAGAGTACTCTTCCATCATTCCAAAGCCAGTATGATAATACAATTACTTTGAAGTGCTTTTGTTTGTTTGTTTTAGAGAAGGAGCCTCACAATGTTGCCCAGGCTGATCTTGAACCCCTGGTTTCAAGTGATCTTCCTCTCTTTAGGCCCCTAAGTAGCTGGGACTACAGGCACATGTCACTGCCACTGCTCCCAGGTTTGTTTTTTAATATAATTTCACAATTTGTTTGTGTTGTCATATTTTCTTAATAGCCATCCAGTTTCAAAATCATGGGAAATTTATCCCACATTTCATGGGTAATTTTCTTCTCAAAGACAACCCTAAGTCCAAGTTTACACTCCCATCAAATATTTTAATAACAGAGCTCCCATTAGTTAGGATAGACTAACTCATTATCAACCACAAGCTTTATTTTTACCTTTAATTTTTTTTATTGATTCAGGGGTACAAGCGCAGTTTTGTTGCCAGGGTATTTGTGTAGTGGTGAAGTCTGCAACCAGCCTCTCCAGGAAGCATACTTCCAGTTGGTGTTAAAAATATATAGATGAAGCTTTATAAAAATGATCATATTTTCTGTTCCTTTCTTACAAAGGTTATGCTTAAAATTTTCTTCAGTGCTTTAGAAGGCTCCCAAATTACAAGCTAATTTTAAAATGAAACAAGTATGTTCAAAATGTCACATTTCCTCTGCCTTCATTTCTTTCACCTCCATGCCTATCTATTATAATCATATCAATATTGCAAGGCTCAGTTGAAATCCATTAACTATAATACCTTCCCAGATCCCTGCCTCCTCTCTTCTAAAAGGTAGGTATAATCACTCCTTCCTCTAAATTCCTGTAATACTTGGTGGTTCTCTTATGTTATCCATCATAGTCTGTCTTGTTGTTATATGTTAAGCGGGTACTTGTTTGTCTCACATTTATATTTGGGAGCTCCTGAAAGTCAAAGTGTATATCGTACTTATAAATTTCCCATATTGCTCAATACCCTGACATGTAATTATTAAGGGTGTAATATTTGTTGAGTAAGTGGAGGAATAAAGGAGGGAATCAATGGGTTTCTGTGATTAACTAAAATCTTGGGATACTATGTACCCGTATATCACCTCTTCACAAGAAGAAAAAGCATTCAAAAGCCTAGTTCATATGACAATTGAAAAGAGAGCAGAAAAGCCATATGCCAAACTAAGAGGAAAAAGAAGGGGTAGCTACAAAATATCCTTTGTGTTTCATTATCCCATGCCCATAAACTTGAAAAAAAAAGTATTCTAACATCATAACGTTAATGCAATAAGTTATCATAAATATTGTTAATGTTTTGCAGGTCTTTACATATATTTTACTCATATTATCTCCGGACAGCCCATGAAATAAGCAGCATAGATTATTAACTATGACCTTCATTTTACAGTTGAGGAAACATGTTCAGGAGGGCTGTCATGCCCAAGTTCATTCAGCTAAGTTGCAAATCAGAATTGGAACCCAAAACTGTCTGACTATAAGTCCTGTATGGTATATCATACCTCATAACTGTCCCTGAAACTCCAAAAAGATGCACAGTGTTTACTCTGTTTCACCCCAGCGATGGGAGTGGTTTTTGCACACTCTTCTACTCTGTCATTAGTCTGCCCATGCCTCCCACACACTGTGCACATGACTGCAAGACAGGAAATAGAATTAACAGTGAGATCTGTGGCCATGGAATGAAAACAAACAAACAACAACAAACCTGGAAGGCCTAGTCACAAACTAAGTCCATCAATACTGTATGCTAACTAACTGAATCAATGAACTGAGTGACTACTGAAGATCCAGTGGGATTGTTAGTATTTTATCTAAATTTGCATGTAATTGACACCTTTGTCCTTTTCTAAATCATGATTCTTACCTTTATAACAGAGGTGCCAGCTCTGGAGAGTGGACTGTGAATCTGTGCTGCAGCAGCCATGTTGGCAATAGTATTGAGATGGTTCATCTGATTCATTGCCATGGCAACTGATGCAGGAGGTAAGCTGACTGGAAGTAGGGGATGAGGCATCATCATAAATGGCAGATCCAGTCCTAAAAGAGACAGTACATATTAAACTTGTTACATTATGATTATCTGAAATAGTTTGTTAAAAAGTATCTGAATTCATTCTTAGTTTTCTTATAAAAACAATTTTTATTATATGCTAGTGTCACCTTGTGCCATTAATAGCACGTGTGGTATTTTATATTGTTTAATAATTTTAAAAATCTTCCTGTATCCACATGTTTAATTATAAATATGCTTTGTTCTTGCGGTTACTCCCCAAATATTGATAAGATGCAAAATTTTTACCCATAAAACAAACACAAATCTTTAAGCCAAACATCATTGCATTTCAAAAAATAAGAACTTTCTTCTTAATCATTATAACCATTTTGTAACATCATAACAATAATGCATTGATGTGTTGATAGTTGACAGCTTTATAATTTCTTGAAGAGACTTAACAGAGGTGCTGGTAAGGCAGGATGTAGATTCTCTAAGCTTCAGAACTATAGAAGAAAACAGACTTGGAGTATGTTATACGCTTTTAGATATAAATCTCTAAAATGAATGCTTATATTAATAGCTTTAATTTAAAGTCTTTGTGAATAAATAATAACTCTCCTATCAAAATATCAACCTATTTTCCAGTTTAATAAGAAATACTTAATAACAAATATTGTTGAGTCATTTCAGGAATTTCATTTTTTTCTTATGCAAGTTGGAATAATTTTCACACATTTGAAATATCTGAAAGAACATCTCTCAATTATTATCCACATTCAACTTCTGGTAGCCACAGGTATGCCATCATGTAAAAGGTAACATTAAAATCATTGTCTACTTATCCCTTAATAGGCTGAAATTTGTAGGAGGAAAGGAGTTTGAGCAGAGTCTACTAAAATTTAGTTTAGCTTTATGGATGTGAACGTCACTGTGAGCAAATCATAGCACTTATTATAAACAATTACCTCTACAGTAATCTTGCCTAATTTTGGACAGAAGCCCAGAAATCAGTAGTCTTTAATAGATGTTCTAAAACATCCCTGCCTATAATTTTTCTAAATTATCACAGACTACAGAAATTCTATGGTGGACAGCATTTACGTTGATTCTGCACATAAGTATTAAGTATTAATAACGTCCTTTTTTTTCTCTTGGTAATCGCTTCACATTTCCTTGCTTCCCTTATCACAACAGAAAAAAAAATCAGCGAATCTATAGAAAGTATATTAAAAAGCTCCCTAAATCTCATTCCTCAAACCCAAGTGGCAGTAATACAAACACTCAAAACACATATTTTTAGGACAAAGATTTTGTTGCATTCTGTGGCTTCATTTTCTTAACAGTGTGTTTCACAGAGTAGTTTTTAATTTTAATAAAGTCCAATTTTAACGGGAGCTAGAAGGAAGAAGCAGTGTTAAATTACTTGAGGTCCATCTCCTGATTTCACTTATAATGGTTGATCTAAAACTGTTAACAAGAAAGCACAAAGGCAGCACAAGCAGTGGAATACATTTCCAGGTAGGTAAGGTCTCATACAACATTCAAGTGATCATCACAATGAAAGCAATTCCTCAATAAAGAAAACATTAGCCACCAGTGTTTCTGATAAAGATAGTCACAAAATGCACTGTAACCAGAATTACACAAGGAAAAAGCCTACCTAGAAACTTAAATTCTGTGTGGAACTCAGGAAAGGAAACATTCTCTGTACTCCCTATCTGACTCCATATCCCAGAGTCAGAAACTATTTTAAACTTTTCTCCTCTCCGTGTTCACTTACGGCTCACTATCTCTAAATCCTTTTTAGGAACAACCTTCTAAACCAAACTTTCGAGCTCTGAAATATTTTTGTTGCCATTATTAATTTATCAGTGAAGCCTCAAAACAACTCTTACAATATTGAATTCAAAGTGGCCTTTTCCACTCACTTGTGATTATTTTTACTTTTTAATAGTTAAAATTTTTATTATACATTGACAAATTACAATTGCATATACTTATGGAATACAAAGTGATCCTATTATATATTATATATGTGTACACACACACATATACACATATACATATACACATACACAATGTGGGATAACTAAATAAAGCTAATTAATATATTCATTGCCTCAAACACTTGTCATTCTGGAGAACATTATGCTAAGCAAAATAAGCCAGGCACAGAAAGACAAATGCTGTGTAATCTCATTTGTATGTGCAACTCACTCCCTTTAAAACTAGAAGCATATTTTCAGTTAGCCTTCTAAAATTACTTAGGTACATATGCATTTTTATCATATAGCTTATGCTATAATGATATTTTATAATATATATTAAACTAATCACTGTTTATCTTTCTCCTAAAACCTTCACATTATGTTCAACATAATAACGACAATCAATGACCTAAGCAGGTTTCTATATAAGGCTATCATTTACCGCAAGCCCAAGGTAATTATACAGTTCAGTCCTTCTTTGTCTACACTGCTTCAGTCACAAATTGATCAAACTTAGATGAAAAGTAGCCATCAGTGTTCCTATTTACTATTCAAATTCTCAAATAAGATTTTGTTCAACTTACAGTTCCCTTAACAGTGTAATAATCTCTCCTCACTCTCCAGAGATTTTCAGTATCACCTAGGCACCATCTGGCGATAATAAGAAATATGCCTACTTAAAGTCCAATTGAAATGCAAACTAAATGCAAACTACAAAAAGAATTTAACAGCCTATTGGCAGTTTTAAAATCTAATTCATCAAACATTTCAAATGACCATGAAAGGCTTAAAACTCATATTTTGAAATCATGACCTGCAATAACTGTCAATTGACTGTAATGCCCTAGACTTTACCCCAAGCTAGTACTTACATTACAGGCCAATTTAACAGTGACTACACATGAGTTCTCCATGCAAAGCTTATGCAAATACTGAATTATGAAAGTCAAACTTTTTCTGAAACTGAGCACATATAATGAAAAACCATCAGTAGTATACACCACACCTGCAATCTGGCTCACTTAGTCACATGCTAGATATACAGGTAGCCTTTTAATAACATGGTAATAAAGACAAATCTTTTTAAAAAATCACCAAAATGGGTTATCTCTTTTCCTATTGACTTCACAGACATTATGCAAGTTACTATAAGAATAATTCTTTTTTTTAATTTAAATTTTTTAAATTATTTATTTATTTATTTTTAAAAATATGACAGATTCTTGCTCTGTCATCCAGGCTGGAGTGCAGTCGCATGATCTCAGCTTACTGCAACCTCTGCCTCCCGGGCTCAAGCGATTCTCCTGCCTCAGCCTCCCAAGTAGCTGGCATTACAGGCATGTGCCACCACGCCCAGCTAATTTTTGTATTTTTAGTACAGATGGAGTTTCACCATGTTGGCCAAGCTGGTCTCGAACTCCTGACCTCAAGTGATCTGCCCACCTCGGTCTCACAAAGTGCTGGGATTCCAGCAGTGAGCCACAGAGTCGGACCTGTAAGAATAATTTCTAATGCATGTTGGTATTTCAGCAACTCCTACAATTCTTATATAAGTGCATAGCACCACCTCCTTCTAGCTATGAAAGGTACAAACTTTAGTAATCCTCTGTCTATCTAAATCTCACATTGATTTGATTTCTAAGTCACGTTGACTTCTGTAATATTTTGTCATTTCTACGGTGACTACCAGGCATTAATCCCTTGATAGAAGTACCTATCTTCCCAATCTGTCTTCCTGTGGTTTTTCATTTGCCTTTCTACTCCCTTTTTAAGACTTCTAGTGACCACTTAACTGCTACCAGAATAAAATACAAGCATTTTTATTTCATCCAAAATTACCTTTCTGGTTGTAATGTTTCATTATATTCCTCTCTGTATGCTGTACTCTAGCCCCACTGGACTATTTACATCTACAGTTTGAATTCATGTTAGCCTTCACTCATGTTAATGCTTCTCTCTGGAATCTGCCTTCCTAACCCAATTGATTTGCCTATGTAAATACCCCTTCCCTTTAAAAAATAAATAGACTAGTTTTAGAGCAGTCTTAGATTAATAAAACACATTAACAGAAGTTACAGAGAATTTCCTTATACCTCCACTCTGCCATCACACAGTTGGTCCTCATATTAATATCGTGTAATAATCTGTTGTATCTCTACATTTGAAAAATCAATATTGATGTATTAACCACAGTCCATAGTTTATAGCAGAGGTCACTTGTTTTATCCCTCCCCCCAACCTCTGGCAATCACTGATCTTTTTAGGCTCTACAGATTTGCCTTTACCCGAATGCTAGCTAGTTAGAATCACACACTATTTAGACTTTTCAGACTGATTTGTTTCACTTAGCCATTTGCACTTAAGGTTCACCCAAGTCTTTTCAAGGTTTGATAGCTCATTTGTACTTATTGCTAAATATGTTTCCATAGTACATATATATCACAGTTGGTTTATGCATTCACCTATTAAGGCATATCTTGGTTGTTTCTAATTTTTAGCAATTATGAATAAAGTCACTATAAACTTTGGTGTATAGGTTTTTGTGTGAACTTAAGTTCTTCACTGATTTGTATAAATATAGGACTATGCTTACTTTAGTTTAAAAAATGCCCAAAATGTCTTCCAAAGTCATTATAGTATTTTGCATTTCCATGAACAACAAACGGAAAGTTCCTGTTGCTCCAAATCTTTGTGAGCAATTGAAGTTGACAATTTTGGATGTTAGCTATTTCCACAGGTGTTTATGGGTATCATCTAGTTGTTTTAATTTGCAATTCCCTAGTGACATATTATATTCAACATGTTTTCATATGCTTATTATCCATCTGTGTCTTAATTAATGAGATGTCTGTTTAGGTCTTTTGTCCACTTTTTTAATTTGGTTGCTTATTTCTTATTGTTGAGATTAAAGTTTCTTTGTATATCTATCAGTCCTTTATCATATAGGAGTTGTGCAAAGACTTTTCCTATTCTTTTGTTTGTCTTTTCATTCGCTTAACAGTGGGCTTCATGGAACGGTTTTTAAGTTTAATGAAATCCAACTTACTAGTTTA